TCCACAGTTCAATCCCTGGTACCAAAAAAAAAAAAAAAATGTAGAACTCAAGAAATAACAGAGTAAGAGGAAAAGGAGGAAGAAGAAAGGAGAGAAGGAAGGGAAAAGAGGGGGGAAATGGTAGAGAAGAAAGGAAAAAAAAAAGAGAACAGGAAGAGGATCATCTAAAATCCAAAGCCAAAAGGAAAATCTTAAAATAACTGGAAAAAGAAACAAATCACCAACAAAGAAGTAATAAACTGCAGATGACTTCTAAATACAAACACAGACATCAAAATAAAAGCTCTCCGGAGAAGATACATAGCAATTAGATATATACAGATGAATCTCCAATCTCTCAAGAATGTAGGTGAAACAGATATTCTCAAACAAAAAGAACATTTGTCAATATTAGCTCCACTCTAAAGAAAATACTAAAGAGTGTTCTTCAGGCAGAAAGAAATTATTTCAGAAGGAAGGTTAGTAACACAGGAAGGAATGAGGAAAAGAAAAGGCAGTAGGTGTAACAGGATAATAACAGTAAAAACAACAGAAATACTGTATATCTGTAAACTTTTTCCTATATATGCATTTTAAAACACGGTAATCATTAAGGAAGGATGAAAATTGAACTAAATGTGTATCATTGTTGTTTCTGAGACCGGGTTTCACTATGTAGCTCAGGCTGACCTTGAACTCACGGGAACCCTCCTGCTTCAGCCTCTCAAGTGCTGGCCTTACATATGTGCACCACCACATCTGGCTGAACTAAATGTTCGTAAAGGTCTTCCATTGTCTAGGAAAAGGGAAAAGTCTCAATTAATATTATACTTTGATAAGTCAAGAATATATTGTATATTAAAATTTCTCTTTTTTTGGTACCGGGGATCGTGTATATTAAAATTTCTTAAGTAAATACTACAGAATAGTAAGAGAATATATAGCCCCAAACTAATTTAAAAAAAAAAAGGAAGAAGCCAGACTTGGTGATAAATCCCTGTAATCCCAGTTCTTAGAGGCTGAGGCAGGAGAATCACAAAATTGTGGCCAGCAAGGACTAAACAAGTTAAAAGCCAGCCTGAACCTGAACTTGTCTTAAGGAAAAAAAAAAAAGAGGAGGAAATAAGTTATTTTTTAAAAATCAATCCAAAGCTAAAAAAAAGTAATAGGTGAGACAGATTTCTAATTTTTAATCATTTGTGCCAATATAATTACATAGCCAATATATAATTGGATAGCCAATTTCAGCTATCCACAAATATCTTTATAAATTTTAGTCTTCCCTGCTATTCAATTTTTCCCTATTGTGATTGACTTTCCAAAATTTTATTATCTTACTACAGATATACTACTAAGCATTAACATGTCCAAAATTCAAACAAGATTAAACAAGAGCAAAAAGCTTAGAGAGCCAACTGACTTATAAATACTGCATTAATTCTACAATAAAATATTAATTTGCCATCACTGCTCTATATAACATTACTAACAGCAAAATTAACATATTAAGAAGCTTTAAAATTATATTCTTTCACTTATTTCATGAAAAACAGTACTCTCATATTTTTAGTTCACTTGCTGATTCGGTCAAAGGAAATTCCAGGATAAAATTTTAACTTTTTCTACATTCCGATCAATGTCAGCAAGATACAGGTGCAATGTGTAGTACCTCTATCACAAAATAACTAAATTATCTCTTTAAAGCAAAAACAACAATCAAAACATAAACCCTAGAGCCAATCTTGATCTTTCTATAGCAATTGAAAGCTGAATATTTATTAAATATTTTTGTTTTACAATTTTGCCAGGAGTATGCATCTTAAATAAGCCAGTCCAAACTCCTCAAAGGGAGAATGCAATCAAAATACTACCCAGATATATTGTAAAGAAATCAAAGAATTAAAAGTCTCTATTAAATACATAATATTTAATCCCAGTTTTAGAGCCATAAAAATTAACAAGTAAACTAACCTGTATAAAAGTAGACACCAAAGTGTCCAGAGAGTCATTTGCAGGTCAAATATGGTCAGGGTCCAGCAGGCTGACTCCCTTTCTGTGATGACTATGTAACAAAAGCAAACCACTTCATTCGAGTGACTAGAAAATGGTGCTGGCAGCCTTCTCTTGAAAATCAGACAATAGCTATCCATGGAGTCCAATTCTGTAATTCCTACACTATGAGAGGCTAGGGTAGGAGGATAACAAGTTCAAGCCTAGCCAGAGCAACACGGCAACACAGCAACTTAGGATCAAAATAAAAAGAGCTGGGGATATAGCTCAGTGTGCAGGCCCTGGGTTTAATCCCCAATGCACCTCCCCCCAACTGTTTACAGGCAACATAGGGAACTAATACATAAACATTCTTATGCAACTCCCACAATAATCTCCTTAGTTCTACTGAATGTATGGTCTTTTCTCACCTTCAAGACTTCTCACTCCCCTATACCCCTTTTCACCTCCTATCCCACCTCATCCTTCAGGAAAACTTGCCCTGACTCCTCCAAAATCAAGTTAAGGGTCCTGGGTTTTACGTAGTTCACTGTGCTTTACTTGAAAAGACTCATCTCACTTGTTGAAAACAAGGTAACTAACACGAATTCTGGGGTTACACAGAAGGCACTCAAATATTCACTGAATAAACCAATTTGAATTTATAATTCCAATTTTACAAAGAAACAGGCTTCCAAAAATTAAGTACAGTAATTTACATGAGATGATATAACCTGGAAATATGTCTATAACTCTAATTCCCAAATCCTAATCTCCCACACTAGCACACTATACGGAAATGTGTTAAAATTCAGATTTCTTACTATTTTTGTATTGACTTCCACTGCAAAAATGGGCGACACCTTTTTAAAGGGAGAAAATGTGTTTAATTAAATTACATCTAAAATTGGAATCTGCTTTTCAAAAATCACAATGAGGGCCAGGGATTTAGCTCAGTGGTTCTGCCGCCTGCCTCGCAAGCACAAGTTCCCGAGTTTGAGTTCAATACCCAGTACCAAAAGAAAATCACAATGAAGGGACAAACTGTAACTAACTTTCAGTGGTCTGAATTGCAATTACAAAACAAAAATGGTTCAAGTGAAACTGCAAACATAAACCAAAAAAGTGCAATCACCTGTCTCTACCAGAAGTAGCAATTCTCAGAACTTTATTATTCTCTTTTGCCAGCTTCAAAGGGCCCGAACATTCCTCACAGTTTTTAAACAAAGTACTTGTGTTTGTTCTCAATTTGAACCTACTGGCCTTTTTTTCACCCATCTTTACTTGCCACAAAATGTAACAGTTATTTAACACAGACGGCAAACGCAGAACAAGGGAAGTTTTGCTTAGCACTGAAGACCCAGATGGGATCTGCTGTGGCTGGAAGCGCTATCGGTTCCCAGTAATGCTTAACGACGATCAGTCAATTAATACATAGTGCCAAATTTGACCTTTCTACTCACAGGCTCGTTCAACCAAGTCAGCTGTCCTCAGTAGGGACCTATCTACATCACAAAACGTAGTTAAAACTGGTAATGAGCTATCCTTACCAGAAACAGGTACAACTGGGTTTGACAGTCTCTAGCTAAAAAGTTGAGTAGGCTTGACAGTAAGGCTCAGGGCCCAAATTCTTAATGCTTGGCAAATGACGGTTCTTTGAATGCCTTTGTGACAACTCATTAATCCTTTAAATACATAATCAGCAAAGGAATCTCTGTTAACTCAGAATACCTGTACTTGCAATCAGGTTCTTTTTCCTTTACAAGTTAATTTATACTCGTATTAGTACAATTTTTTTTCTCTCTTTTGGCTCTAACCCTGGTCCTAACATTCATCTTAAATAATGAACTACACCGTATTTACAATATTTATTACAAATGAATGGCAAACTCGAAAATACTTTTGTTAATTTTAGGGTCAGAAAGAAATAAAAGCAAATTAACTAGTGTTCATTTTATCCTGCCTAATGTACTAATTCTTACATTATGATGACGTCAAGAAAGTAAAAAAGTACCCTAACTTCCCCTGACAGAATATCCGAGATTCAACATGTATAGCAGAGAGTTGGCCAGGGAGGGTCCATCTTGAAAATTCTGTGCAACTTTTCTGATCTTTGAAGTATCAAATATCCCAAAGACTGTATTATTTTTATAAAAGGACTGACACAGAACTGAAATCATTTTCCTCCACCTAGTAAAATAGGACAGCGTCCCCACTTTTTTTTTCCATTCATGTCTCATTTCCAAAGACGGGGTATTGCCCCAATTCACCGAGCCGTCCCAATCGTGCTAAAGCCTTCCATCTGAAGAGCATCCGCAGATTAAAGGGAAGAAGGGTAGGACGAGGGGGAAGACTCGACCTTCAAGTTACAGAAACATCCACTCATCGATTCACAGACTTTTCTCATTTTCAGGCATTAAAACACCTGCGAGTAACCCGTTCTCACGCATCAGAAATGCTGCACTACTCTACAGCTGCAAGCTCCAAACTATTTTGCAAACTTTGCAAAAGCGCACACATTTCCAGGCTTTTCGAATCCCTCGCTCAGCCCATCCTCCCGTCCCTGGTAGAAACAAAGTTCCGCCGCATCAAGGCAATAATTTAAAAAGAACTAAGTTTTCCTTGGTCCTGCCCACTTGGACTCTGGAGCACTCAACTGAAACTCGCTAGGGAGACGTCTCCCCCGGGACCGAAACTCGCACGAAGGGGAGGCGGGCAGCGGGTTCCGCCTCCCCGGGAGCTGCGAAGCCCTGGGCCCTTTCCTGGGGCCCCTACCCGCATGCCCCCCGCCCGCGCCCGCCAACCTGCCAATCACTCTGCAGACCCCCACCCTCGAGCGGGCACCCGCGCGCACCCCCGCGCCGGCCCCTCCAGGGCTGAGCCCGGAGCCGCCGCTGCGTCCCCTCCTCCCGGGTCCGGGAATGGCGGCGTCCGGCTCCCCGGGGCCAACTCTGAGTCCAGGCTCCAGGAGCGCACCCCGGGAGCTCGCCGCCGCCGGTCTCTTGCGGCGACGGAGAAGGAAAAGAAGTTACCTCAGGACGGTCCCGTCGGCGGAGGCTGCGGGCAACAGGCAGGGCTGGCAGTCCCGGGCGGCCGAGCAGGTCCCGCGCGGCGGCGGCTACTGCAGTGCTCTCCGCCCCATTGTTTCCCTTCCAAGAGGATCCCGGCGAAGCCGATCCCGGGAACCAGGAAGTTCCCCGGCGCGACACCTCCTGCCGCCGCTATGGAAACGGCCCCCGCCTCCCAGGGCGGCTTGCCCGGGACCCCGCCTCCGCGCCGTCGGCCCCGCCCGCCTCACCGGCCGCCGCCAACCGTCGCCGTTGCGGCCGCGGCTGCCGCCATCTTGGCGCGGCGCGGGCAGCCCATTCCCGGCGGCACGTGCGCGCCGCGCGCTCCTGCTAACGGGGCCGCGCACCCAAAGCTGCAGGTGGAAGCTGGAGCCCACCAGGCCCCTTGACAGGAAGCCAGCTCCCCTGACTGGGGGTGAGTGGGTGGGGAATCTAGAGCGAGGCTTCCGAGGCATTGCTCGAAAACGACAGACATTCACGTGTCCGATTGACTGGTCAAGAGAATGGTTGAGACCTGGGAGGTAGTCCATGGAGTAGGGGGCACATCATGGCCCAGAGAGCCACACTGGCTTATTGTTCTTACCCGGCCCGGCTGCTTAGGCGTCAGACCTTGGGCATTAATTTACTCTTTGCCTCTCCTTCCACATTTCATCTGTAAATTGGGTTGATAATAGTACTTGCTTCACAGGGTTGTTACTCAGAACAAGCGACTGTTAGTGCAAAATGATCATCTGTTCAACAGAATGGCACTGCTTTTGACATGAGTCACGCTTTTGTCATTATTCGGAAACTTACACCGAGAGTTCAAATCAGCACTACTTTAAGTAGGCTACTGTGTACAATCCTATCGCTGCTTAAAACTTATCAGGTGTTCATCTTTGTCCCATCTTTCTCTAGGTCAGCTTTCCTTTTTTATATCATGGAAATTGTCAAGAGTTTTAACCTCCACAGTCTTCCATTAAGGGCTGCCATAAAAAGGTGAATGATGTAAACTTTTCAACACTGTGATTAGCTGACAGTTAAATGACTTGTTCAGGAGAAGCTACAAAAATTAGGGTGTGCAAGTAACTAAAAGACTTCATATCCTTGTTTCAAGAAACTAGAATTACTAAAACTGGCAATTCTGTGCTGTTGTCATTCTCTCTTGCCCAGGGTGAAAACTGACACTAAGAACTGGGTGTTATGCACAGTGACGATGGAAGGAGGACACAGGGTCAGTCTCTTCCCTAGCTCACAAGCTTTCAGAACTGCAAATGATTAGGTCTTAAAATTAGAAGGTAGAGATCAAACCTAGGTCCTTGAGCATGCTGAGCACTCAAGCATTCATCTACTGAGCTACATCCCCACCTTACACACTTTATAAGAAAACATAAGTTCACTCTTCCCTTTGGGTCTTCATTTAAACCAAATTTGCAAAGACTAGTTATGATTTTTTACCACCCTGATTTTTTAAAATGGCACAACTAGTGTTAGTGATACTTGATTTGGTGAAAAAGCAGGTCAGAAATTGCAAAGATAAGGACATTTTTTTTCAACATCCAATACTTCTTCAGAAGTTATAGAATTCTCATATTAGCAATTACCCAGACTGAGATAGTCTCAATTTCTGACTGTGGTCCCCACTGGACCCAGCACATTGCTTTGTACTCTGAAAGCTCTAAATAGACATTTACTGAATTAAATTGCTTCTGTGTGTTTGAGATTCCATCACTTGACACCTTGGGAATGACAGAGATGCTTATGAGATGGCACTCAAGGGACATCACTATAAACCAGAACCCCAAGTTACTAGTTAATGAGTTAATGGGATTTTGGAAGACAACCCTGGCCACAGGCTTATTTGGCAAGATGAAATAGAAATTTCAGATATTTTTCCATAAATTATATGAGTAATTCTTTATTTTGGACTTAATTATGACCATCGTTGGCTCAATTTTATCCTAGTACTCTAACTCTATGGTCTTTAAAGTTCAGATATCCCAACATTTTTCCCACAAGTCAGAGTGTCAACAGCCAGACACCTCAATATAAAATTTGTAGTTTTAAATTATAACTTCTGGGGCTTGACACAATTTTTATTATTAAGTGTCTTAAAGATACTGTTGAACAGTAAGCATGCATTTTTTTTCATTCTTGTTTACTACTATATCCCCAGCATAGTACTTGACACATGGTTGGCATACAATATGCCTAGGCCATATGCTTAAAATTGGCAATATATTGATTTAATGTGTTTTCTGTAGAATATAGGAAATATAGAATTCATGTCAATAATTATCAAAAAATAAAACCCTTTTTCTTCTAAATTAGGATTGAACAAACCTTTTCTTAAAGGGGAAAGATAGTAAAAGCAGATATAGACAATATATACAATGATGAGGGTGACTGGATCTAATGAGCAATTTTGATTGTCAACTTGATTGGCTTGAGAGAAGCCTAGGAGATTAGTAAGGCATGCTTCTAAAGTGTGTCTGGGTGGAACATAAGGATGTGATCTTGGGGACTATATCAGTCCCTGGCCCTATCTTCTCTGGCTCTTTCTCTGCTCACTGCTTTCTTGCTGCCATAAGCTGAAAAGCTTTCCTCTACAATGCTCTTCTGCCATGTTGTTTCTGCCTCAGAAGCAGCCAGCCTTGGACTAAAACCTCTGAAACCATGAGCCAAAATTAACCTCCTCTCCTTTAATTTGCAGGTCTTAACCCAGATATTTTGTACCAGAAAATATGGAAAGGTGACCAATACACTAGGTTTCACTGAAAATGTACAGAAATAGGTGGATTTTAGCCTTGGAGTAGCATTTTATCAACTCCTGCTCTAAATAATAATATTTAGATTAAATTTAATCCATGATTATATTCACTCCAAAATGACATGCCAGATGCTAAAATGCCCTCCAGTTGAAAAAAGGATAGAAACTTAGTAAAATACCAAAAAAAGAGAGATATAAATTAACAGTTTGTTAATTCACAAGTACTAGAAGTTTAGGACTATCATATATCATAATGGAATAAGAGAGATACTTGCACTTCATTTTTGCAAAAGTTATAGTATGTTATGTTAATGGCAATACTTAAAATGTTGCCAGTAGTAAAAGTATGTATTTATATCTCCCCCCACAAGATACCATAATAACTAAGGCCAGAAGTACAATTTGTGGTAAGAATACAAAAACAAAGACAGAGAAAAAAGTTTCCAAAGCAAATTATCTATCCATCACTATCATGTTCAAAATATGGATGAAAGGGTCAGTTCTTAAAAGATTTCTGTAAATTGAGACTTTGAAATATAAATCCATGGCTATATGATTGATTTAATTTTTTGACAGGGATAACCAGATCCCCCTAAAAGGGGAATTTTTTTAAAAAAAAGAAGTCTGTGGAAAGCCTTGCAGTGCATACATTCATACTCACCAGCCACAATAATTTCTGACATTTCCTAAGAAACCAGTGTTTCTATTGATTAGAAAACTCAGTTCCAGGGCCACCTGCTTCACAAGCACAAGGTCCCAAGTTCAATCCCGGGTACCAAAAAAAAAAAAAGAAAGAAAACTCAGTTCCAGTAGCACTTCTATAATTTTTCTTCATGAGTGAAGGAAAAAAAATAAATCCAGATCATTCAACATCTGTGTGTTCAGCATAGGTGAAAAGGCAATGAATAATCAAGAGCCACAAGGGTCAGGGATTTAGCTCAGTGGCATCGTGCCTGCCTTGCAAGCACAAGGTCCTGAGTTTGATCCCTGGTACCAAAAAGAAAAAAAAAAGAGTCACATCTATACGGCTCTTTTTTTTTTTTTTTTTTTTTGAAGTAATTCTTTGACTTCAAAGAGAAGTTATTGATTGCAGAACAGGAAAGAAGAATTGAAAAATCTGTGGGAGGCCAATGAACTCCACATAATTGCATCCAGGATTTTATGTGAACAGTTTGTTGCTTATAATGATGTGAGGTTGTCTTATTTATTGGTATTCTCAGTTTTTTTTCTGTCTACCTGTCTTAAGACTATACATGCTATAAGATTGGGGAACTTGTCTGTTGTCTTTTTTTACTGTATTCTTGACTCCAAATGGGCATCTGGACAGACAAAATCTACTCCAAATAAGTAATTATTGAAAGAATGAAGAGGAAAGGAGGGAGGAAGAAAGAGAGGGTGGAAAAAATGATTGAAAGAAAGAAGAAACAGAGATATGCAAATATCCATTTTTTTCTGGAAATAAGTTTCTAACTTTTTTATAGCTCAAAGAGGTCTATGACTAAAAAACAATCAAGAATGACTGGTTTTCAACTACAAATACTATCTCTCATTACCTCCTCTGCTCTTTGCTCACAAGCCACCCTGTTCCCAATTACATACCAAAATGGTTATCCTGGTTTGCCAGAAATCTGTAATGATCCCATGTATCATTTGAGAAATGTCTCATTATGTCTTTACAACTTCAGAGAGTTTCTTCTTCCTGTTCAACTTATAGTTGCCATACTTCAACTATACTTTGGCCACCTCTGAGATAAATGCCTTTTTTTGGTCTCATTAAGCAGAGTTGTATTTAAAAAGTATTATAAGATATCGAAAACTTGAAGTGCCACTTTTAACTCCATACTAGAGTGATAAATATTTGCTTCCATGTATATGATTTTTTTTTTGGTACCGGGGATCAAACTCAAGACGTTGTGCTTGCAAGGCAGGCACAGGGCCACTGAGCTAAATCCCCACCCCCATGTATATGATTTTATGAATAACTTATAACTTCCTTTGCCCATAAACCTACAGAAGTTTTGTGGTGGCTCCTTTTTCACAGATGGCCTCCCAGTGAATTGTGCCTTCCACTATTCATACCCTTTTACATCATCCTCCTCTTAAATCTGGGCTGGCCCCGTGACTCATTTGTTATCCAAAAAAGACTACCGCGAAAGTGTTGTTAAATGTTTTCTAAGGCTAGAACATAAGCTTTGCAGTTTTCACCTGGATCTCTGAAATTGTTAGTGCACTCCCTTCAGAATTTAAGCACTATCCTGAAAGAAGCCCAAGCTACATGCCGAGGCCGTATATAGATGGAGAACCCAGCTGAACCCCCACCGGCAACTCCTAGGCATGTGGGCAAGGCATCCAGAAGGGCCAGCAGTCTGGCCCAAATATC